AGGTGCTGCAGCCGGAGGGGAGCACCAGGGCTTTGGGGACAGGCGCCGCGGGGGTGAGACCCAGCTCTGCCATCCAGTGTGTGTGACAGTGGGCAGGTGCCGTGTCCTCGCTGAGCCTGGTTTTCTTACCCATGAAACCTGGATAATAACAGTTACGTCAAGGCTGCCGGAGAAAACAGGGTGCTTCGGAACTATTCGTTGAAGGGAGGAATGGGTGAAACTCCGGAGGGAGCTATGCTAAGGGGACTTTTAAGACCAGGCTTGCCTCAGGTTACATGCTTAATCATTTCTCCTGGCCTGGGACTCCTCCTCTTTCTGTATCAGCCAGGTCCCTGGATCGCTAGTGAAAGAAAAAAATAGCGTGAACTGGCTTAAAAGAAAAATAAATGTATTGACTCACATATCGCAGATGTTCACGGGTCAGTCTGCCTTTGGACAGGAGGTGCTCATGGGATGTGGGGAATCTATTTCCCTCCCTGTCCTCACGCTGCCTTGTCTTGGCCTCTCCTCACCCAGGCTCTCCTTGCTGGTAGCGTAAGGGCAGGCACAGCTCTAGGCGCACATCCTAGTCCCTCAGCAACAAGTTAGAAAAAAAAGACAGTCTCTCCTATGATATTTAAAAATGTCTCCCAGGATGCAGCATCCTTGGCTCTGATTGGCTGAGCTTTGGTCATTGTCCAGCCGGAGAAGGGGTGAGTCCCCGAGGGGAATATCCTCCAGGGCGAGCAGAAGTTGGAGGTTATGGCTGCTCAGCCTTTGCACGATGAGGGGTTATTACCAGGGGCATCAGATAGTGGCTCCAGAGTTGGTCAAAGGTGCAAATTTTCCAGGGACTGGATCTGAGTCCCACAGAGGCAGCTGGCCGGGGATGGCCTGGAATTCCCAGTGGGAGGACGACCTGGCAAAATTGCAAGTGGCCAGCTGGAGGAGACACATCACCCGAGTCTGAGGAAGTTCATTCAGAGGTTCCCAGGGAGGGACTTGCCAAGAACGGCTCCCCCCCGCCCCCCGCCCCCCCACACACACCCATAGAGAAGAAAGAGGTGCAAACACCCACTAAGCCTAGAAAGCACGATGCCACATCCTAACAGCCCAGTGTGTAAGGCCTTCATGCCCCTTATCTGTTGAGAGTCAGGTGGTGGGGGAGGGGAGGGCGAGGAAGTAAGAGTGGGGGAGGAGAAAGGTGTAACATGAATGACGTTTGAATTTGTGACATGACTTAACATTTTCATTACGGAACTTAGACCGTTTTACACTTGGAAGTGACTGGAAGGCATTTTGTTGTTCTCGTCGTCATATTGTCTTTTATCATTCTCTAAGAGTGAGCAGACAGGCTGTGGGAACTGCCCAGGAGCTCACGCGGAGCCAGATAAAGAACTATCCACCGTGTGTTTGATGGGCGGTTGGAGGGAAAGAGCCGAGGACTGACTGCACCTCTGACTTCCACCCCTTGGATGTCCGGAAGGTCCAGCCCACAGGCAGGCTCACAGATACAGCGGTGGCAGGTGGGGGTAGTTCTTGGTTTCCCACCTTGAGGCTTCTGATCAGGTGACAGGAAGGGTGAGCCTAAAGCAGGGGTGGGCAAACTTTTTGACTCGAGGGCCACAATGGGTTCTTAAACTGGACCGGAGGGCCGGAACAAAAGCATGGATGGAGTGTTTGTGTGAACTAATATAAATTCAAACTAAACATCATTACATAAAAGGGTACGGTCTTTTTTTTTTTTTTTAGTTTTATTCATTTCAAACGGGCCGGATCCGGCCTGCGGGCCGTAGTTTGCCCACGGCTGGCCTAAAGGATGGAAATCCCAGGTGCTAACACGAGGGCCGGTCGCATTGTAATTGTCTTCAAAAAGTAACCCACGATGGAGTAGGGTAGTTACTGTGGCCATTTGAAGATGGTGGGAAGAGAGCAATGCAGAGTTTATTTGGAGCTAAAATCTTATAGCTCCTGCCAAGAACTGCTGATCTGGTTGCACGACAGTTGAAGAACTATCAAGGATATAATGGACCTTATTTTGGGCCCAGCACGGTGCAGACACACTCCAGGGCAGCCGTGGGCAAACTACGGCCCGCGGGCCGGATCCGGCCCGTTTGAAATGAATAAAACTAAAAAAAAAAAAAAGACCGTACCCTTTTATGTAATGATGTTTACTTTGAAATTTATATTAGTTCACACAAACACTCCATCCATGCTTTTGTTCCGGCCCTCCGGTCCAATTTAAGAACCCATTGTGGCCCTCGAGTCAAAAAAGTTTGCCCCACCCCTGCTCCAGGGAGAAGGCAGCCGACTCTGGCATCCAGATGCAGTGTGGCTGCCACCTCCCATCTCATGACTTGATATCTGACTGAGAGATGTTCTCAGAGAGAGCTTTATGGATCATGTCTCAGTAACCACCGGCCCGCCCGTCAAATCCAGCGGTGTAGGATGGCATTGGACCCCAGATCTGGAAGAACTTAGCAACTTCACAGTTTCCAAATGCGGGGGGTGGGGGGGGGTGAATGCACACAGAGAAACCAGAAAAGCACAGGAGGAGAGGGAGGAAGAAAGAAAGAAAGAAAGAGAGAGAGAGAGAGAGAGAGAGAGAGAGAAAGGAAGGAAGGAAGGAAGGAAGGAAGGAAGGAAGGAAGGAAGGAAGGAAGGAAGAAAGAAAGAAAGAAAGAAAGAAAGAAAGAAAGAAAGAAAGAAAGAAAGAAAGAAAGAAAGAAAGAAAGAAAGAGAATGAAAACACTCTGTTTCCACTGGCAGATTCAGTCTTTGCCAGGAAAACGAATGTTGACTTGGTAAGCACATAATTCCATTTTCTACACACTCAGAAGTGAGGAAAAGCCAGACACTGGGAGAAATCTCTGCTACCATGCTCAGCATTGGCAAGGGCAACATGTACATGAAGTAAGCTTCCTGCGAAATACTTGGTAATATAAAAGGGTAAATGCCTCCGTATTTTACATATAGTAAGATCTCAATGACGTGAAAATATCTATCTGTCCAAATATCTATCTTTATTTCTAACCAGCTTGATTTATATTCATAGACAAGAACGACATCATGAGGCTGCAAAGTACACTCTGTGGAGAGTGGGGAGGGAGCACATAGTTACTGAATAATAAGCAAATCTACCACAGCCTCACTCTGATCTTTATGGTTTGTAGTAATTTGTATTGAGGTTCTTTTAAAATTTTATTACAAATGTTATATTAATCACTGAAATTTTTGACAATCCAGAAAAACATAACCAATCAAATTGAAATTCCTTTTTATTCCACTACTTATAGATAAACATTGTTAATATCTTGTTGAACAGCCATTCAGAGTAGAAAATTCATGTACATCCAAGATTGGTGTTGGCTGTGGCAGTGAGACAACAATGGCCATTTGGTGCTAGGCTTCGCTTTGACTTTTGGGAAGTCAAAGGGACAGCCACCCACCCGCGTGTCACCAGTGGTTCTGTAATCAGTGAGGTTTCTATCCGTCCCATGGATAAAACACACAAGCATGTTATTCACCTTCTACAGGAACTTGGAGGTTTAGAACAATCTCATGATTGCTTTACATATTTAACTTGTATCAACCAGCTTTAAAGTAAATTTATTATTGCAAGAATGACATGCTACAGAGAGAGCTTTTGGGGTCACACCTCTGGAACCAGCGACCCAGCTTGTCAAATCAGGAGAGTTGGGATGGCATCAGACTCCAGATCTGGAAGAATTTAGCAACTCTGCAGTGCCAAATGCAGTTTAGCAACTCTGCAGTGCCAAATGCAGTGGGAACACACACACACACACACACACACACACACACACACTGAGAAAGCTATTGACTTTATGTGCAATAACAAACGTTAAAGATTCTCAAATGTTGTCACAGAAAATAACGAATGCAAACAAACAGTGAGAGACTGTATTAGGCAGATAACTTAGGAGGACCTAAATATGAGTCAACAAATGCTTCAAGACAATTTTAATACAAGGTAGAGCTCAGTAGATGAGATAATAATCCCGAAATGTGTCTGATATTTTGTGTGCTGCCATTCATCTCATTACATAAAACAATTTTTAAAAACACTAAATTTGATTTAGTTATTTAATTTCATTTAGAATATGAAGCTTTCAACAGAACAATCTACTTGGGAACTTTTCGCATCTTGCGAGGATCAATTAAAAGCAGAATGTCAGCTTTTCCACTTCAAATTTCATGAGGAGGAAAAACTCCAAACCCATGTACCAACCCATCCATGAGAATTCTTTTCTACCCTGGACAGGACCCAGCATGTGGGGGTCTGGAAACACTTTCAGAGTGTGACTCTGAACATTTTTTTTGCCTCATGTCAAAATTCCACCCTCCTCCTATGCCACAAATGAAAATATATTTGCACTGGAAGCAAAATGAACAAATATGGAAACTGAGTCTGGCCCTGGGTCAGAGTGGGGGCAGCCCTTGGGTGGGGGGAGCCCTGCCTAGTTCTGGGGGGAAGTTCGGAGGATACCCACTCTCTATGGGTGCACTGCCCTTTACAGCTCGGAAAGTGGTTTCTCCATCTGATATCTCCATTAACTGTCCTCCAACCTTTGAGGTGGGGTTGGCAAGTGCCCCATTTTATAGATGATGAACCGGAGGCACTTCCCCAGACCTCACTACTCCCTGCTGCCTAACACAACAGGCTCACTCTGACATTCCCCGCGTGGTCTATGAGTTTATACCTCGGCCAAAAGAGAGGAGAATCCACCCTACGACTAGAAACGCATTTCTCCTGGGCTGACAGGAAAGGAGAAGTGAGAGAGGTTTGGGAGTCTCTGGAGAGAGAATTTGATCTGGAGGGGCGCCAAGGACAGATTTCAGCAGTGATGTGCTGGTAAGTGTTTAACAACTGCTCTCCAGGGGAAAGAGTGAGTGTGTGTGTGTGTGTATGCACGCATGCATGCACACGTGTAAATTCTGCTGGGATGAAAAATGTGTTTGTTGCGCAAAAATTACAAATAATATAAACACTTTCTTGAAAATACTCTTTGTTGTAAATTCCATATTGCCAATTAATTCTCATGGAATGGTTTTTATTTTTTGTCAAACTCTTGTAGGCACAAACAACTATGACTGCAATGGAGCCATGGCTGGACAAAGTTAGACGACAAATGATCACCTGATGACAATCCGGCTCAGCAAGACGCTCACAAGTGGCGTTCCAACACGAATGCTGGTTGGGATTTCTGTTGACTTTGATGAGTCAGAGCAAAGTAAAACAATGCAGAGGTTCCTAAGAACTCCTTCATCAATGGCCTGAGCAACTTGCTTACTAAGCTGAATAAACAGCTCACCTCACAAAACAATATTTCCTCCATTCTTTGTGCCACTCACAATGTACTGGCCATAGACACAATGGACATAGTGTTTTATTTGCACATTCTATCCGTCACGGTCTTAAGGCTGGAAAATCAACAAAACAATAAATCAAGCCCTGATCTGTAATGTTCCCCCCTCTCTGTGGGGCCAGCACACTCCCCATGGCCAGTTTTCACTGAGGTGGAATCAGAAAGAAATGCCCAGTCTCTCCCGTGTCCCTCATAAGATACAATAGATGTAACCTCCAGAGCACAGATAGTAGTAAAATGTGGTAAAATAAGGAAGTGATCAGTGTTTAGTGTTTATTTCCTTTGTTTTTAATACAATTTATTTAATTACGAGTTTCAGTAATTTAATTTCTCTTAATGGCTGTGTTTAACTGTGTTTCAAGCTTTCAAAAATCCTGAAAATTTAACAGTCTGCTCTCAGAGCCAGTAGGAGCCAGCTCCAGCACCCCACTGGCTAGAAGGGAAGTACTGTCACCCCCAACTTATGATGATTCAACTTACGATTTTTTGACTTTATGATGATGTGAAAGCCATATGCATCCGTACTTTGAACTGTGAATTTCTATTTTCCTGGACTAGTGATACGTGGTACAATACTCTCTTGTGATGCTGGCCAGCGGCAGCGAGCCTCCGCTCCCAGGCCGCCACTCCATCACGAGGGTACACAACCGATACCCGACAGTGTTTCGTTAGATGGTTGTGCCCAACTGTAGGCTAATTCGTGCAGGTGTCCTGAGCATGTTTAAGGCAGGCCATGCTAAGCTACAATGTTTAGTAGGTGAGGTATATACTAAATGCATTTTTGGCTTCACCATGGGTTTATTGGGCTGTAACCCCATCACAAGTCGAGGAGCATCTGTATGTAGAAAGGAGAGAAGAAAAGTTGAGGGACCAGTCTGTGGGGACTGCGCCAGCATCCCCCAGGTGAGCGGCACGATGACAAAATCTTGCCTGACACCAGCACCCTGGACCTTCTTTAGCTCTTCATTCTCAGCATCCGGGAACTCTGGCCAGTCCCTTCCTTCAGGGACCACTGGCTGAACTACCTGTTCAATCTCTATGTGACTCACCCATTGGGGGACAACCCTTCACAATGTCCCAAAGGGGCGGGCATGGGTACTGAGGTGAACAGACACCCCCGACTCCCTGATTAGCTGAATGGGACCAGCCGAAGATCTCCCAGATGGAGTTAAATACACCCCGGAGGCATAGTCACCCCCCTACTGCAGAAGCGGAAACTGAGCCTGAGGGAGTTGTTACTCACCCAAAGTCAACAGCTGCCAAGAGGTAGAGACAACAGTGACAACCAGGTCAATAAGCCTCCAAAGCCATCTCCTTTCTGCATGGAAGGGCAGCCAGCACTGTCCTGGAGACAGCCCAGCAACTCGTTCCCTGCTCTTGGATTTTAGGGCACTTAATTCTGGACTTCTGTTGACCTTTTTCCCTAATGAAACTTACATCCTCCAGAGAGATGACTAGCGACTTGAGAGCAGGGCCCACGTTGAATATCTGTTGTATTATTAGAATTCCCATTCATTGGTGTCAGAAGAGATCTTAAGATCCACTTGGTCCAGGTCCCTGACTGTACAAATGGGGGAAACTGAGGCCCGTGGTCATACAGCAATGACACCAGTAGACTCAGGACTAGAACTTAAGCCTTTTGCTGACCAGTGTGGGTTGCTGGTGAATGGTACATATTCCGGAGAAGAGAATTAGGGGGGTGAACAAAACTGATATCTAAGAGTCGAAAGAGCAGGCCTTCCCCTCGCTGAAAAGTCCCAACCAGATGAAACAAGAGCAGAGACTATGGTACCCTCAGCTGGATTGAGGGGTTATACCAGAAGAGGCTTCCTGCCAGAGATTCTTTGAGAAAGCCCAGGGCACCGTGGAAACTCCAGAAGAAGTTCTCGTTATAAGTACTGTAGAGATGTGCAGAGCCAGTGGGGAAACTGAGGCAAGAAGGCAGCTCCTCAGAAACCCTCAGAGCCTGAGACTGAACATGAAGACTTTCGGGTTCTCAGACTCTCATCCCTTTCACCCCAGCACAAAAGACCTCCTCTGGCGTGGTGGTCAGTCTCAAAGGACCACCTAGAACTTGTGCTCTGGAGCCCAGGCAAGCAGGAAGTTGGATCTCGTCGGCGAAAACCATGGGCCCAGCATTTTCCAAGCAGAGGGGCTCCTCAGGAGGCCGCAGAGACCTTGATGCGGCTGTACCGGACGCCAGACGTGCTCTGCCTGTGGCCAAAGCTCGGGGGGAACCTGCCAAGCAGAGAGTGAGCAGAGTCAGGGGGCAGGGCCTGGGAGCCTTCCTGGAGGAGACAGGAGTGGAACATCCCCTGGGACCCCCATCGCCACTCCCAATCCTACCTGTTCCTTCCTACCTCCGGCCTTAATATCCATTTCCATCTTCTGGATTACCCAACTACTCCTCTTGGTCTCCCTGTGTCTCCCCTCACCGCCATGTGCCCCTGAGTCCCCGGCTCCAGCTGGACACTACCCTTCCATTCTAACCTCCTGTCATTCCCCAATTACAGGATTTAACAACTCCTGTCAGCTGGGCTTAAAGGCAAATGAAACTCTGTTGTAGGAAGACTCCAAACAACTCAAGGAGAACAGCTCCTGTAGGAAGTCAGGACAAAACGCACAGCATCCAGTAAGAGAGGCAAGAAGAAAAGAAAAACACTCTCTTGCAAAGGGAAAGGATGACGGCTCCGGTCCTGCATGGGACCCTTCCCCAGGGCCCGCCCTGTCCCCCTTACCGTCTCCTCTGGAATTGCTGGTCTATCTCTGCCAACGACTGGCCTTTTGTTTCAGGGACAAATAAATAGATGAAACCCAGGCCAAGGACGGCGGTCAGCCCGTACAGCAGGAAGGTCCAGGACAAGCCGATGGTGCCTGGGAACAGGGGGTGGGAGTGTGGGCCTGGGCACAGCCAACCGGCTGGCTCCGGGTCACGCACTGAAAGAAGATTCAGCTCACCTAAAGAAGATTCTCCAGATGGTCAATTTGCAGAATGACCAACAACTGTCAGAAAAGTACCTTAAAGCAGGAGTAGGACTGATTGTCCCAGAGGCCGGCAGAGGCAGGGCTCAGATCCACACACGCTGCCCAGGGCATCTTGTCTTTCTGGGGCAGCCCACGCACTCACATCTAAACCACTCACGGGTGGAGTGTGCCCGGAATCAGAAAATGTGAACGGAGGGAGACTACTTTCCACCTGAGCAAAGAAACAGCTGCAGGAGGCAGCCGTGGCAAAGCTCGGCTCTGAAAAAAAATCCTTAGTGACTCATGGATTGGTTATTCAGCGCACTGAGCATTCAGGGAACTGAGTTTCAGCCTGTTTGGCCCCAGTCTGATTGGTCTGGGAGAGAAGATGAAAACCTTAGCATCCTAGCCTCTCCCTCTTCCAGGAGACTCGGGTGGAGGCCAGGGTCTCAGGGCCAGCGACCAGGACCCCTGGGATGACCTTGACTCCTTTTAAGTCAATCAGCCCAAGAGAGAGAAAGGAGGCTGTGAAGAAAGAGACCGGGTTGAGCCAAAAATGGAAATGATATTTTGGCTGCCATTCTCGCCTCTACCAGCCATGGCCACACCTCCTCCAAGGCGCCTCCCCTGACCAGCCTGGTCTCCACTTAATCCTTATATCCTCAGGGAGAGAGCTGGGCTGGGAAGCTGGAGGGCTGGGATCTCGCCTGCACACCACCTGGCTGGACTTAGGGAGGACGTACTTCCCCATCTGGGAATGTGGGTGATAAGGGTAGGACACAATCCTAATAAACCCCTCCCATTCTTCCATCTACTCTCTCACCCACTCACTCATTCCCCTGAGGGAATGTTTGACAAGGAGGCAGTCGGGAGAAGTCTGGATTCCCTAAGACTGGGGGTGGGAGATACCCATGTTTCCCCCAGGCCCCGGGGGTGGCTGTGCCTTTGAGGAAGAAATGCTTGGCTGCAGGAAGCGGGAAAATCATTGAACCCTAAGAATGTGGGACCCGCAATGAAGGCCCAGGCAACCAAGGGCTACCTTGGGCCAGGAGCATCTCAGAGACCCTTCCCCCGTGTTCTGTGCCCATAAAATTCCCACCCACCCCGCCCCCACTTAGACTGGGTTTGAATGCTAGGTGAGAAGAGACGTGTCACCCAAACTGGATCTGAGAAGACTTTCCTGCTGGCCGGTGGGCATGAGCCAGTACGAGTTGGCTTAGAACAAAGAAAAGGCTGCACTCAGACAAGTTCACCCTCTGCTTCAGACAAGTTCTCGCCAGTGTTGGTGTGGACTGTCACCTGTCACAGGGCTCGGAGGATTTTACGGCGTGTCTGAGGGTTCTGGACGCAGACACTTCCATGGAACATGAGCACAAAGTTTTATTTGAAGAACAGTTCTGCTGCTAGCAAATAGGAAACATTTAAAAATTCTCCCGCTCCGGAGTGGGGACTTCGGGCTACAGAGAAGAGATTGCACTTGGTGGAGAGGGAGGAAAGCAGAGCCTATACTCAGGTCCCCACCCAGAGCTCGTGCCCCTCCCCCACACTAATCAGAGATGCCCCCTTGACCAGGAAAAGTGGGTGCCTCAGTTCTCCTCTTTCAGCCTCCACTCCCAAGTCACTCATCAAGCCAGCCCACACACTGGTGGGGCCTGGGATGAGGCAGAAGCCTCACAAATCAGATCCTCTGTTGTCTTTGTCTCCCAGCCTCGCCTCTCCCTTTTTCTGATACTAATTTTCCTTTGGAGAAGACTCCCCTCCAACTTCCGGTCCATGCGGTTGGCAGAGGCTGTCCCTGCCCCCTGGCTCCATGGCGGGTATGTGACCCAGACCTGGAGCCAGGAGGTGGAGACAGCCCTCCAGCCACAGTGATTGGTTCAGGGATGGGCATGCGATCTTGATGAGCCAATGAGAAGCAATGCTAGGTCTTGGGGCGGAGCCACTGGGAAAGAAACGCTCTCTTTCCTGGGGGCTGCCGATTTGAGGTCGCTGGCGGTCATCTTGGCCACCAGGAGCGCCTGCCTGAGGGTGAAGCCCACAGTGTGGGAGGCAGAGCGGAGAGAGATGAAAGATGGCCACAGCTTTGTTGGAGTTTCTTATGCTTGATGCCAACTGCCCTCCTCTTTTCAATTATTCAAGACAAAAACCATTCCCTTTTGTTCATAAACTGGTTTGCCTTGGATTTTCTATCATTTGTACCCAGACTGATAAGGAGGTTGCTCCTGGATCCAGAGGCACTGGACCGAGGAATGAGGTGAGAGCACTCACCGATGAGGTCGAGGAAGGAGAGGCTGATGAAGAGGTTGGCGGCCCAGTTGAAGCTGCTGCAGAAGGCGAAAGCCCTCCCTCGGATCTCCGCCGGGTAGATCTCGCTGAGGACCAGCCAGGTCACTAGGACAGGAGAGCAGGGAGGGCTCCTAGGCTGTGGCCGGGCTGGGCGGGCACGCAAGGTCCAGCAGGCAGCCTTCCATCAGTGTGATTCAAACCGGGTAGGCTACTGACACCAGACTCTCCCTGGCTGCTTCCCCCACAGGCTATAAGATCCCAGAATCCCTTTAGAGTGACCTACATTCTTGGTTTCCCCAGGACCAAGGGTGTGGATGCCTGGGACACGGGACTTTCAGGGTCCAATCCGGGATAGTTGGTCACCCTATTCATTAAAGCCCTTCGAATTCTTTGAGTGAACTATCCAGGAGCAAATTCGGGTTTTAGGTTAAATGATTTGGGGGCTTTTTAAAGTAAACAATATTACAAACATGCAGGTAGGCGCTTGCCCTCAAAAGGAGTGCCGGCACATCAGCGAGGAGCCCTGAAGCTAAAGCCACACTGGCTTCATGGTCAAGCCCCCTCTAGTGTCCCTCCAAGACCCTGAGGGGCACCGTCCCCAAGCTTCCCACTAGGAAGGGTAGAAGGCTCAGAGTCACCTGCAAGGAGCTCCCACCTACCTGGTCCAAATCCAAAGGAGAAGGCGCTCACAAACACCATCATGCAGACCAGCGCGGTCCAGTGCAGCAGGGCACGCTCTGGGGCAGGAGAAGGGGGTGCTGGGGAGGCGGTGCTTAGAACTGGCACAGGAGGGGCTGTGGGACCCCCAGCTCTGGAATGACGCTTGGTTTTCTCAGGAATTGGCAAGACTGGCTCCTCTTGGTTCTTGCTGGTTGTTGACAGTGGATGTGAAGAGAAGCCCGTTGGCAGGTCAGACTCTCCGGGGAGGCTGAATGGCCTGGTGGCGTTGGGCATGGCCAGGCAGCTGGGGCCCGAGTCCATGGGCACAGCGAAGCTGACCAGGCCTATGCCACTGACGGACAGGGCCATAAGGGCACAGCCAGCTAGTAATAGGGCCCTGCGGCCTGCTCGGTCCACTAGCCCCATGGCAGTCAGGGTAGCTGCCACCTTTACCGCGCCAAGCCCCACTGAGGCCAGCACAGCTGAGGATCCCCCACGGAAGCCAACTGAGTGGAAGATGGTGGAGGCATAGGACAGCACATTGGGCTGCCCTGTTAGCTGCTGGAAAAGCACCAGCCCCAGCCCCACGGTGGTCCGGCCTCGCATGTTATCCCGCTCCCTGAAGAGGTCCAAAAAGGAGTATCTTGGCCTCCCCAGGCCCAGCTCGGTGGCCTCACCTCCCTGGAGGGGGATGAGATCCCTGTGGGCTGCAGCATCTTCTGTACCCGCAGGGAGAATGAGGAGGCTGAGGGACTGCAGGAGAGCAGGTGCAGCAGCCCAGCCGAACATATGCCTCCATCCCCGGGGGACCGTGGCCAGCGCGTAGTTGAGTGCATAGGAGAGCAGGATGCCTACAGTGATGCCTGCCTCATAGAGGGACACCATCACCCCCCGCTGCCGTGGCCCCACCAGCTCTGACATGTAGATACAGCAGGCCATGGAGGAGAGGGAGATGGCAAAGCCAGCAGCTGAGCGGCCCAGGACCAGCCAGGCCAGGGAGCCAGCCAGGCCCAGGCTCAGGCTGCCTGCCAACAGCACCAAGTTGCTCCCCAGGATGGCTTGTTTCCTGCCATAGCGATCAATGAGGAAGCCCCCAACCAGAGAGGCGAGGAGAGCCCCCAGGAGCAGGCTGCCCACCAGGAACTCCTGCTCCAAGCAGCTGAGCCCAAATTCAAGCTGCAGTGGCAGCAGGGCACCCGATATGACTGCCAGTTCATAACCAAAGGTCAAGCCACCCAGCAAAGACACAGAGGCACACAGGGGCAGGAGGGGTGGTGGGCGGCCTGGAAAACAAAAGTGACAGGGTCTGAGTTCAGAATGGTTCCTTGCTAGAGCCTCCATCCATTCAACCACTCCTCCATTTGACAGTTGCATCCAGCTCATCCATCCATCCATTTATTCATGCATCATCCATTGATCCAACCACTCATTATCCACCATCCATCCACTTCTTCCTTCAACCATCTCTCCCTCC